CCATATTGTCGTCTAATCGATTGAAAAGGGTTCAACAAACTGCATGATCTTTTCTGTATGTTTTATATAAATATTATATTACTATTACAAGAACAGAGAACAGTGTCTCGATTTAAGCAATTATTTTAGATAATGAACCAGCGTGTGTGCCATCTCGAATTAATAATAAATGCATTTGATCAAAACAAAATACTTCATGTGCGTAAAAGCCGATATATAACAATATATCTATATGGGTATATTGTAGTGCGAAAATACTTGCTACAAACAAAGCCACCATAAAATAATAAGTATCCTTATTCTTTTCTATTTTAATTAACTATTTCATCAGAGAGTTTATCAAGGGTCCTTAATTCAATATATGAAACAATCTGAATAAAACAAATATAAATTCTTTAGATCTCAGCCATATATCGTATAAAAGCTGAAAACTGCAATAAATTGAAAATTCTCACTGAGAAAGAGAATGATTTAAATTACTTAAAATCATTTAAACTCACTTTAAATCAGCTTAAATCAGCAAAATCAGTTTAACTCATTTTAAATCACCGAAATCAGGTAAACTCATTTTAAATCACAAAATGACAAATCGCTGTTTCCCCCTTGCATTGTTTGCATACTTCTCGCATCTGTTCAAGACAAATTATATATATATATATATTGTCTCTTTTCGTCTGATCAATAAAGAAAAGTGATTATATTGAATGAGCAGGTAATTATAACTGAACGACATTCTCTTTGAAATCATAATCGTTGTTCACTACAGAGATATTTTGTTTTAGACAGGGACCGTGAAAAATGTCCAGTATAAAAAGATTTTAGTGTAGTTTTAGATAGATTTTAAAGTTTTCACTTTCAGAATGAAGTAGAATGGCAATACTCAATCTATTAACTTCACTGAGTTGCATTCATTCATTCATTCATATTTTAAATTCGAGAGATAATTTAATTTAGTTTATCCAATGATTGAAAGAAAAAAACGTTAATAGCACATAATAGAAATTGAAAGAATATGAAAAACAAAATTGACTAAAAATTTGTTGTATTTGTATCAAAAAGACCTTTAAGCATTTGTTTCCGTCGAATCGTATCAATATAAGAGCGATTTTCAATAACTTCGGGATGATCTGTTGGTAAGGTTTTCAATAATTGTTCGATCGATCTTTCTGTTGATAAAATAGCATCTTCAAATCTTCCCAAGCCTGTATACGTTGTTGCAATATTAAAATGTGTAACAGCAATGGTTGGATGATTTTCTGGTAGGCACATTAATTCAATTTCAAGACTTTTTAAATAACATGGTAACGCATCACCGTATTGCTCTTGTCGATAATACATTGAACCAATATTATTGTAGAGTGACGCAAACGATGGATGTGTCGCTGGTAAATATTCTTGTTGAAATTCTAAGGCACGTTTAAAATGAACAAGTGCATCGCCATAACGATGCATTTTATTATAAACATTTCCTATACTATTATTAAATGAAGCAAGTGCTGGTGGGTTTCGTGGTTCGATAACACGTTGAGTTTCGAGTGCTTTACTATAATATGTTAAAGCATCATCATATTTATCTTGTAAAACATAAGCATCACCTAAATTATCATAAGTCGATGCAAGATCTGGATTATTTGATTCATTTAATTGTTGAAGAATTTTTAAAGCACGATCAAATGATTTAGCTGCATCACTATATTTTCCTTGTTTTAAATAAACAACACCAACATTATTTGAATATGAAGCAATAGCTGTTAAATTTGGATTATGTGAATGTAATTGTACGTCAAGTGCTTTTTGGTGATATTCAATTGCTTTTGTATATTCTTCTTGACGGAAATACATTGAACCAATATTATTATATGTTGGAGATAATTGTACAGCATCAGATGGAACAAATCGAAGGAATGTATCTAATGATAGATGAAATAATTCAGCAGCACGTTTAAAATCACCTCGAGTGTGACATGCTGCGCCGAGTATATGACATGATGCAGCTATTGAACCTTGAAGATTTGGATCAGATTTAACTGTTTCATCATCAAATATCATTTGAACTAATTGTTCAGCACGTGCTTGCTGATTCATCATTATCATTAATTTTATTAAAGAAACAAATGGTGCAGCACCTTTAACTTCGTTTCGTTTTGTTTCAAGCATTCGTTGAATAGAACGTTCATTTTCACATTTAATTAATGTTAAATGAATTGAAGCTACTCCATTTTCATTATTATTGCCTTTCTTTTCAACTTTAGTTAAACGCCCAATGATACCCATATTTAACAAAATATCATTGCTATCGTCAACAGTATATCTAAGTGAATATGCATTAGCACATTTCATATTCGGTGATAGATCGAAATGAAGAACAACAGGTACATATTCTTCGGATAGGTTTGGAAGATTTTTAGCTATTTGAATGGCTTTTGATAAATCTGTTGAACCAAATAAAATTTGGCTAAAAACAAGTAGGCCATGATTTGTTAAGCTTTTTTGCAAATCTTCTAAATCATTTTGATGAATGGTTTGGCCTAAATAAACAGTTAAAGATGTATTTGATATCGATTCATTTTCGATTTGATGATATAAATCTTGAATAAATAAACGAAATTTAAATAGAATGTCAGCTTCTGGTATACGAAGAGCTTTATTTAACATCTAAAAATTAAAAGAATTGTTTAGAAAAAAACCAATCGTGATTGTTTTTTTTTATTATTATTTTAATTTACCTTTGATAAGAAACATTGCCGTGTAAACCACCAAACAGCTCGATGTTTTTCATAATCAGTTTCAAATTCATCAATAATAGATAATTCTTCTGAATTTCCTTCATATTCTTGACGAGCAAAATTTACTAATTCTTTCATCGCATATTCAGTTTCATCACTATCGAGTATTATCTCACTTATTAATTGTGAATAAATAAACATAGGATCAGGCGTACTTGAATTCGATGATATATTCATGTAAGCTATTAAATCACGTGTAATTTGATTTATATCAATCGATATTTGTTTATAAACATCATTTATATTTGTATAGAAACCTTTAATTTTTGAATTTTTATTTAATAGATTTTGTTTATTTTGATCGTTTTCATTTAAAATATAAATAGCATATATTTGTTGAAGATCTTCAATGCGTGGAAGAATTGAATTACTAAAAACATCTGATAAGATAAAAATAACTTTTTCATTTGATATACTGTTGATAAACGCAATACAATCATCAATATCATCAAAAGTTTTCAAGAAATTTACAAGGCTACGAAGAGGTTTTATTATTGAATCATCAGGTTTTGTAGAGTTCAAATAGACAAGAATAAAATATTCAACATTTCCACGCTCTCGAGGAGCATTGCCCATTGAAGTTTCAGTATGTTCGACTTGTTGTTCTATATTCAATAAAAACAAAAAATAAAATTGCACAATCATTAATAATCTAGATAGAACATATTCTATACAAAATAGTTAAGTTTGTTTCGACGGTGAATTCGAAAATGTTGTATTCAGTTTTAGGATATACGAGGGGAACTTGCTATTCGTATAAAAGTCTATCGAAAAGAACGAGTTAATTGTAATATAGTTTAATGATAAAATTTGAAGAAAAAAATTTTCACTTTTCTTGAAATATTCACTTAGCAAAAAACTCGATAAGAAGTGAATTGAATTTGGTTAAAAGTTTATTTTTTATTGAAAACATAATAAAAAAAAGTTCAGATTTAAAAAGAAGTCTGATTCTATTTTTGGTTCAAGTTTTAGAATGTTCTACCAATGTTTATTTCATCTATGAACCATCAATTTTTCGTATTTTTTCTAAGTTATTTTCTCTTCACCCTAATTATTGCTCACATATACAAGTTTCCAAATTGTTTTTATAAATATGCCTTAACTAGGCTACAAAAAATATAAATCTATATGATATATGAAAGAGAATTGATACGATACTTGTTTTCTTTCAATTAAAAAAATAACATTCGCATACTATCTAAAAATCTATACGGGTAGAAGTTTTCTGATTATTAAAAAATCATATTAAACATATCAGTTCAATTAACCGTTTGCTACAGCTATTGGAGTTTATCCATACGATTCTACCGCACCATTGATTATTTTTCTTGCAAGATGTATACTATCGAAACAAATTATGAAATCATTAACATACACGAAGAACTATGAATCTAATCGGTAGACTACGTCAGATGCTCAATTTCGAAAATCTATTTTGACAGATCAGATAGAATCAAACTAGTTAGAATAGTAGCTATATTGATAAATATAAAAAGTAAACATACGTCGGATAATTCCAAGTCGTGTCAGTAATAATTGGGTTCCATCACCAACATTAGGTAAATCTCGAGTAGAATTCATACTCATCGAAGACGTTGGTTGAAGTCTTTGTTCATTTTGATTATTTTCAACATTGGAAGATATTGATCGAAGAAATTGAACAAATTCATTCGATTGATGATTTTCATTTTGATTATTATCATTGTCTGAATCAGAACAGCCACCTAAATTAGTATACATATTTAATGAATTTTTCTTCGTAATAATATTGTTTTTGTTAACCTTTTTGCTGTTGTATATTCAATGATTCTGATTTTTGTCTGATTGGTTTATCAAGAGTTTCTTCATGAGCATCAGTTGATATTTCAAATGGTGAATCGAGATTATCAGTCACAGATAACATTGTGGACAGCTGAGGAGGACCTATAAATAGTTATGTAAAGTTTCTGTAAACTAAAAAGTTTATTTTGATAAAACCATAAATTCTTTTCGGTGGAGGTGCACGAGTTGGTGGAGGTGATTCTGGATCAGTAGATGATAAGATGGGTAAAAAATCTCTTGGATGCGGCTCAGAGTTTTGTCGTTGTCGATTATTTCCTGATTGAATTGATATCAATGATTCAGAATCAGGTAATTCAAAAACATCAGCTGTAAAACCTTCACTTGCTAAATAAAAATCAACCAGAAATGAAAAGAGTCGTCGTTTTTTTGTGTAAATAAATAGTACAAGTTTTTTCGAGATCGGCTTGTGGCACAGCGAGCAATGTTGCCTTTTTTTTCTAAGAAAAACAAGTTAGGTAAATATATAAATATAGTTCAAGCTTACTTCGGATTCTTGCAGATTAGATTGTTCACTTAATCTTGTTTCTGTTCTTAATGTTTGATCTAGTATTCAATTTCAATTTATTTTCATAATACAATTAAATGAAATAATTACTTTCACTGATTCGGCGTCCATTGTTTAATGACACTGGTGGTTTTCGTTTTTGAGTATTGTCTATAGTCTAATTCAAAAGTAAATTTAACTGTTTCAGTTTTTTGTTTTCTTTCAAATAAATAAATTCTGACATGTTTAGATGTTTGTTGCTTTGTTTTTGATGATATGTGTCTTTGTTCGTTGTTGCTTGTATTGAATGGTATTTTATTTCGTGAAGCTAAATGATTAGTGATTTATTAACTGCAGTGATAATTAAAACAAGAATAATATTTTACTTGGAGGAGTTGTGGATAGGCTTGATGAGCTCTAAATTTATTTGAAATAGGATTCATTTAGTAAAAAGAAAAGCCGAAAGACAAAGAATACAAACTGTGTCGCTTTCTGATTGACATCTAAATAAAAAGTAAAATAATTGTTCCAAAAAAAAATGAATATAAATAGTTTACTCTTGACATGGCTTTGATCCGATAATGTTTTCAACTTTAAAAACATGATTTCCATCAGTTTTAGTTAATGCATGTTCACAACAAGTTGTTATTCGATCTTCTAGTAAGTCATTTATAAAAAAATCTAATTTGATTCTTGAGCTATTTCGATAACGTTTTGATTTAAATGTTAATTGATCTTTAATGAATATATATTTCAAATCGAGAAAAACAAATGTTAAAAGTTGTTCAAATTACCTCCAGATGATAAACAACCTTTGAAAACTGTTCTACCATTTTGAAGAATCGTTATCTCATCTCCATGTTTACCAGCAGCTGAATTACGATAAGTTAATGTAACTAATGAGCATTCTCTTGAGCTACTGAGCTACAATTAAATTAACGAGAAATGAATATTTTGTAGTCGTATAAAAACGATAAAAAAAACACATACTGAATTATTGTGATGGTTGTGATGACGTTGATGATATTGAGAGAGACTACCACTTCTATATCTTGACTATTTAAGAAATGAAATAAAACAAGAATACGTGAAAAAATTAATTTACTGATTCTTCATAGCAATCAGAAGTATTCAATCGTTGGCGATTATCTCTATGGCCACTTGTTTGAGAATGTGACCGGGTATGTCGTCGTCTATCGATGCCCTAATTTTCGAGAATACAAAAAAATTTAGAATTATTTCACATAATTAATTGAATTTTATTTTTGTAAAATAAGAAATAATATATTAAAATATTAACCTGCACATCATGAATAATTGACTGAAATTCTCGTCGAAGATCATTTTCACATTGTCTTTCAAGATCAATTGCTCTTGAAAAATTATATTTGTTTAAATAAAACTTAATAAAACTAACTCACTGTTCAATTATTCGTTGACTAATTATATCTTTGGCCAATCGAAGTCGTTCACGTCTTAGTAAATAATCCATTTTGTTTTCTAGTTTACTGCGTAAATAACTTTATGATTAACTATCAAGTATTTTCATTTAATAATATTGATCGTAAATAATCATATCTGATTTAACCTAAAGAAAAAAAAAGCCTCATCAGTTGATTTCAACTAAGTCATTCATAGTCAACATAATTTTTTGTCGATAACAGTGCACGTTGTCTTACACTGCTATATATTACTTATTATTCACCAAGAAACGTTAAAAAAATAAAGAAAAAGACAGAACGCAAAGAAGGAAAAATAAAATAAAAATGAAGGCTCTTTTTTTGTGCAGTAAATACCTTTAAAGTTACACACTTACGTTTGTCTCTTTCGTCGAATGTGGTTTTTATTTTTTTAGAAAATAACAGAAACAAGACGTGTTAGTAGAGTGTCCTTCGGGTGTCCTTACATGCAATTAAACATGCGATGAAAAAAATGATCCATCCATATCAATATGAAGCGATATAATTTTACTTGTTATAAATTGTTGGATTATCGTTCTAGTAGCACTAATTTTAAATATTAAAATAAACTTGAAAAAGATATATAATTCTTATTTTGTATATAAAGCGTTTACTATATCAAAGATTCTCGATCAGAAGCATTTTCATGATAAATAAGTCGATGAGAAGAAAATATTCAGTAAAATATAACTATTCTATCGATTTTCTCTTTTGTTTTTATCATACAGAACAAATACAACTTGATTAAACGTTTATCAAGAAATGAAGTGCTTTAGCCTATGCATGATAGTAAGAAGTTCTTACAATATCTTTTATCAATCAAGTAGCACAAGACTTTTTATCGATTTTGAAATTTGTTTTACAGAATAATGGTACAAATTTCATGTTACAATTCAAATGTCAATGTATGCTGGACCGATAAGAGGTGAATTAAAGAAAAAGTATCCTCTTAAAAAACAAATGCTGTCGTTGCTCTTTCTTTACTACTAAATGAATGAAATTTTTCTTTTTCTTTCAGTCTCAAATTTTCGATTCTTTGATTTAAAAAAAGAAAAATTGAAATATGATCGATAAATGTCAAAATTATTTTGGTAAGCATTTTTCTTGCTTGATTTTCATTTCAATAATATAAACATGCCTTGCAGAGGTCCTGATTTCTTTTTATCGTCGTTCTCATTTTGTTTTTAATGTTAATAAAAAGTCTTATGATTTTTATTTTCGACAATTTCTTTTGAAGAAACGAGCACCCAAATTTCCGAAAATTCAAGTGATTCCACAACACGAGAAACGAATCTGAGCGACTTCGGAAAAAAATCGAACCGCTACGAAAAATCATATTGACAAAATATAATAAAACACATTTTTTTGTGGAAGACTTCAATTCTAATTATTTTATTGTAATATATTCATTAAAAGACGACACCTGTATTCATCAATGTGCGCTTGACGACGACTGCGCAAAATAGTGTGAGTGTGTTTTTGTTGTTCTTACACCATTCGCTATTCTATTTGAGTTTGTTGTTGTTTTTGCAATATGTATCATAGGCAGCACAACGAGGTAAAACGCTGCCATTAAATACTGAATATTTTAGGATTAGTGACTGTCCAATCACTTTAATTATCATGTCTCAACTAATGTCCGAATGTGAAATGTGTCAACAAGAATACACTTTATTTAGACGGAAAGTAAGTAACTATTGTTGAGTTCAAATGAATACTTTCTATATATATATATATATATAAAGTGTTAAAAGATAAGATAAGATAAATCAATTTCTTTTCAGTAAGATAGACTATGAAAAAAATGTCTTACATATTCTCTCGTATCTCCTTCCAGTCTTACGATTAAAATTATGTAAATGATCTGAAATTCTTTTTAGAAAGAATGTGACTTATGTGGACAAACATTTTGTTCAAAATGCGTTCCAAGGCAGTCATGTTTTATTCCATTTGCTGGTCCACGTATATGTACAATTTGTTTAGTTATTACTAATCCGCGTACAACGCACGATCAATTAGCATTGATTCGTGTAAAACACCTTCGTGCTTATGTCCTTCATTCAAAAATAGCGTCATTGAATCGTCTTGAATCTTGTTTTGAAAAACAAGATTTGATTAATTTAATTCAACCGAAGAAAAACCAAACATCCAATAATAATGCAACAACAACAACATCAAATGTCATTCATCATCAAGAAGTTCAACGACCACGAACGAACACCAATGAACAGGTTAATAAAATTACTGAGTTTTTTCCTCAAAATTAGACTTGATAAAATAAAATTTTTCCTGCTAAGAAAATCGAACTATCGATGAAATTTGTTTATCTCTCTATATATTTAGTTTGTTTTATGGGAAGGACGAAATCACTGATGCATAGCATTAAAGAAAAAAAAGAAAGTCCCATTCATTCTATTGAAATGTCAAGAAAATCTGTATCACAATATAAAAATCATGAGATTGAAATCTAGTAAACATTAAATATTTTACAGAGAAGCTTCTTAATCATAAATACATTTTCTTCAGGCATAGCTCATCTTTATTTATGCTTAGTTCTTATTTATTATTACACTTTTCTTTTCTCTGTTTTCTTCTAATCGATTTGTTTGCTAAGTACAAGAAGCCAGCGGTAATAAAACTATGAATTCTAATCAAATCTCAAACATGCAGTTTGGTTACTATCTGTGAGATAATATTTTGCTGAATATATCCTTAAGAAGCGTAGTCACGTGATAAATTCTCTTTCCCTATGGATATATTACACTCATAAACAATTTCGCAATTATTTGTTATGCGATAGGTCGTTATCTGAAAACTCAATATTTTTGAATTTATCCTTTCTAAACTGAATCGATAGATTACAAGAATATGTAAAAACAAAAAAAAGTTGTTCTTTGAAATGATTTCGTCTTTCTTGAATGATAGCGTCGAGACAGTAAATTTTTCTTTTCTAAGCTTCTGGCTAAATTATTGGAGCATATATTTCTAAGTGTTTGATTATAAATACAAATATTGATTTTAGTTTTTGTTATTAAAATGTTGTTAGAAATGTTACTAGTGATACTAAGAAATATAATTTCTGATGTTGATTTGAATGAATAAAATAATATCGGTGTCGAAATACTTCATTGATTATTTAATTCTTACACTAGCTCGAACTAAAAATCGTTGAATATAAAATTTACGATTCAGTTGCTTATTTGAGCAAAAATAAAATTCGTTTCTTTTTAGCTTCATGTTTTTGCTCATCAATCGAGACCGGTAGATGCCACGAAAATAAATGCGTATGTTTTCCCTCTGATACAATTAGCAGATCTTCAAAAACAAATGATAAAGTTTTTGTTTTTGCTTGAGTCTTGGTGTAATTTTTTAAGATATTTTATTTTGATTAACAAATCCGTTTCTGACTTTGCTTTAGACATCGATACCTAATGTTAGTTCTTCAGTTTTAACAAATGATTCACAACGACAAACTATTCCAGAATCTGTTCCTCAAAAACCTGCTTATAATCGTGTAACTCTTGATATTGTTTCATCAGTAGAATCAATTAACGATTTAACAGTTCGACAATTAAAAGATATTCTTACACAAAATTTTGTAACAATTACTGGATGTGTTGAAAAGCAAGAATTAATAAATAAAGTTGAACTACTTTATCGAGATAAACAACATCAATGCGAATCAAAAGCAACTAGTAAACTAACTTGTTTTTATTATAATTCTTTGTTATTCATTTTCTTAATTGGTTTAAGATGATAGTCAATCATCCGATGAAAACTTATGTAAAATATGTATGGATGCCAATATCGATTGTGTCTTTCTCGATTGTGGTCATCTTTGTACGTGTGTAAGGTGTGGTAAACAATTATCGGAATGTCCTTTATGCCGATCTTATATCGTACGTGTCGTGCGTGTTTTCAAAGGCTAAACAGATTCGGAGTATTTTTATCGACTTAATATATCAATAACATATTCGAATTTTCTTATTATTTGCATTAGACTAGTATGCAAAAACTGAGAAGTTTTACTTCTTCCGTCATCTGCTGAACCAAAGGATATCATTTTTTTCAATTATAACTTCAACAATTAAGATATAAGTGAATTACTTATGATTTTTAGTTTCTTAAAACAAATAAATGATTTACAATAAATATTGATAAATTTTGTTTTACATCCACACTGCGCCAGTAGAAGTATGAAATTCGATATATTTTCATGAGCTTTCTTATCGGTCAACTCCAGAAATTTTGTTGGAGTTTCAAAAATGCATTTAACCCCGAGACTTGAGAAAACAACAAAACCGAATAGTGATACTGTGAAAATATTAATATATTTTCAAATTTATTGGTTGAAATGGAAATTTTTATTTTCTTAATTTTAATTAAAAATCGAATCCAATGTATTTGCTTCGTCGATGAATGATCTTTAGTCGATGCATTTTAGACATCATTAATTTTTCGGTGCGTTTCATTATTTGCAATATCAATTTTTTTTTCATTGTTTTTATATAAAATTCATGAAACTTATTACATATTCTAGTTTTTTAAATTCCGCTGGAGAAGTAATCGTCGAAGTTCCTTCTTTTTCTTATCGAAATTTAGATCTTTTTCAGCCTGGTTCGTCTATTCAGATTCATGTGCAATCAAAGGAAATCAAGCTAAGCAATTTGCAATAGAAGTTTTGTTGCGTTTTTTCTTCTTTTACAAAGCATATATAATATATATCAAAATTAACTGTGAAATTTCAAACAACGAAAAACGATGTTTTTGACGAAAATTTGAAATCAAGAAGATGATAACATTGATTTTTATCAATTAATATTACGAGTACTGTATAGAAATATTTATAAAACTACAATTAAGAATAGAATATCTTGAAAGAAAACGATTTGAAACGATGAAAATCAAACCTAATATACCAAAGAGCAAAATAACAATACAGTTAAAATTAGAACATTTCGCAATAGAAATTGAACAATCGATTCAATTTTAAACGAAAATTTGAATAGAACCATAAATTAATTATCATTTGCATGCCTCAACACATAAGAAATATCCATAGAGAAATATTAAAATCAAACTCATAAATTGACGAAGAAATCGCTTATCACATTGTTCGTTAAATAGTTGAATAGTTAGCTACTAAAAATATGTTGACATCAGTTTACCTCAATTATTATCTTTAAATTTTCTACTCAGATTTAAATATATAGTTGAATATTCTTAGAGAACATTCAGAAATTCAACAATAATTCAATTTCAACTACAAATCATAATTAAGAACTCTTTTTATGATAATGTTTGATCATGATTGTACTTACAATGTTAACTAACATATAATTTAAAAATAATGACGTAATTAAATATAGCTACTTTAACGAATTCTAATCCCATCGATACTTATGACAAACTTTTGATTAATTCTTGGAGCCTCTGATAATCTTTTAATTTTGATATAAAGACATTCCATTATTATTTTGTAGTTGCTATTGACAACGATACAGTTTGAAGGACATTTATACTTTCACCTATATGTCTGTCTTCGTAGTTTTTATAGAAATTCGTCTTTTTTCTCGGTTAGGCAACAAAGAAAAGGAAGGCGACAAAATAAATGAGAAAAGAAGAAACCACGACTCGCCCCATCGTCATTTTTTCTCTTCCTTCATCCTATCAACATTACAACAAGAAAGAAACAGCAAGTAATACTTTTTCGTAGAGAAGTTATGATTCAGAAATGAATAAAAAAAGAGGAGCATTCATTCGATAAACTTTTACTTTTTACTCGTGTTAAAATTTTTGTTTTCTTTTTAGATTTAATTGAAAAAAAATATTTGTAGTATTCATCATATTTTGTGTTTAAAACATTTTTTTCATTATCAAGACACGCACGTGTTTACATTCCTCTCAAGTAAGTCACAGTGCGAGACAGAGAGAATGAGGAAAATAAGAAAGAAAAATAATTTGTTTCAATTTACAATTTTTTACATTAAAAACAAAACAAAAATTTTAGATTCCTAATATTAAATGGATTATTATTCATTTGAACGAAGACATCGGCGACGCCGAAGACATCGATCAACATCGTTTCACGAGATCGCTTCCGATGACAATGATGACGATATTGAACAAGAAATCATTGATCGGTATGAAGTAAAACAAAAATTTACAAAAATAAAATCTATTTGCTTAAGAGCTATGGAAATTGAGAGAGGTCGAGAAAAAAGTCTACGTCGTCAACTTGAATACATCGTTCATTATGTTAAAGTTCGTTGTTTCCTTATAATTTGTTGTATTTTGATGAAAGAAATCCTTTTTTTTAAAGAAATTAGAAAGACGACGTCATGAACGCCAACGAATGCGATCTGTCGAACACAACGTGATGCCAACTAGTCCTTCTCATCGTCGAAATTCCGATTCACATTCGGTACGAAATGAAATTTATCGATGAAAATAAAAGTTAGGTTGTTTATTAATTAGCATTGGGACTCATCATCAGAACGATTCTATCAAACAAACGATTCAAGTTATGCAGAAGTAAATTATTTTGGGTTAATTTTTCTCTTACTCTTTTTTCTTCTTCAGACCAGAATTTGGTCAAGATCAAAATTGAAAAAAATAGCATCGTATCAGATTACTATGAATTATCGAGGAATTCAAAGTCAAAGACATGGTGATGAAATCATGGTTTTACAAGAAAATATAATTATCTTTAAAGGATTTCTTCGACCACAAGGTTTATTTTTAAACTAAAATATTTATTCGACAAAAGCTTCATTGCAATTTTTTCTTTTAGAAACATTTACATTTAAATTTGAACGTCATTATCGTCAATTAAATGTTAAATTAGAATTTTTTATTAATGAACTATGTGAATGTTGTTTAACGATTAATTGTGAACGAAAGCAAATTAATGAGCAAAATGAGTTTTTTCAATTAGAAGCTATCCACTCAAATGAATCAAACGAAAAGTTTATTGAAACTAAACGTTTTCTTTATTTCGAAATAACTTTATTTTGTATTCTTTGTTTTAATGAGTAGATTTCAAACCAATGATGAAGAACAATTCAGCAGTGAAACAGAAAAATCAGTAAAAAAATGCAATCCTTTAAATAGAAATGATTTAGTTAAATCATATAGAGTCCTATCGATTATTGTCGACGACGGCGGCATCATAGTAATAGTTCGAATGTACCAAGTAACTTTTGAATATTTCTATTTCAATTCTTTCAAACATTATTTATCTTTTTTTCCCAACAACTAAGCAACAAATGAAAGAAAACGAGCACAATGGCATAACGGTGATTATCATCGTCATAAATCTAAAACACAACCGCACTCTTTATCACTTTCAGTAAGTTATTGAATGCGAATGTTTATTTATACTTCTGTATTTAGATATCAAGAGATGAAAATAACACATCGAGAGAAAATTCATGCGTTAAAAAAGTATCTCAAAATAATCCTAGTCCATTTCAAACACTCGGTGAACTTGGAAGAATTTACAATTGAATCAGTTTGATTTTCTTTTTCTTTTTCTTTTCAATCTAGTCACAGAACAACGCCAATCAGCACATGAAGAAATCACTAAAAATAAGCAGTCTAAACCTAGTTCTACTCAAGTAAATTTTGAAACTTTCTGTTTCTTTATTAAACATTAATAAATAAGTATTTATTTTTCAGGCTTCTTCAAGACTAGCTAGCGAATCAAGTCCAAGAACAATATCTACCAATGAAAAAAGTTGAGACTAAATTCGACATTATCAATTATAAAGTCTTAGTACTTTTGATTTTTTGTTGTTGTTGCTATTTAGAGGCAACTATTCGTCATATAATCAGTTCAGATAACGATGATCAAGACCAAACATTGGTAAGATAGATAGTTAGAAAAAAAAACACGTGCAAAATTTTCTTTTCCTGATTAATTTATATATTTCGTTCTTTTAGCAAGAAAATGAGAGAAAAAAAGCAAGTTACGGTAAATAAATTCTTTTCTTTATCTAAAAATAGTAATAGTATTTTTCTTTAAAAAAAGGTCCTCCTCAATTATCGGCACTTGGTCGTTCTGATTCTGAGTCTATCTCAAATGAATTAACAAATACTCTAAAACAAGACGACGAAAAACCTTCCACAGAAATAATAAAAAAATCTGAATCTTTATCAGAAGAAAAAGATACAAATGAAGATGAAGAAAATAATGATGCTAGTGGTTTTCTTGGTTTTCTTCAACTCTTACAATCTATGTCTGGCGGTGGTATTCATGTATCATCATCGAACGATGATGGTGATGATATACAAAGTTTACTTGCTCGACTAGGAATTGTTAGACGTAAGTTTTCATTGTATTGCTTTTACTTTCCTAATTAATTAACTTATTATCGATAAATATTTAGAGACGAATTCAAGGAAAAAATCAATTCACTTAACACCTCGTCTAATTGGAAATACTGAAAATTTTCTTCTTATTTATTTGAATTCAACAATACCTGAAGATTCATTAGTAATGGAATTTCGTTCTCTCGTTAATTATTTAAAAATATTTGAGGATGTTGATGACTGTATTGCATTTATAAATAACATTTCAAATGAAAAAATTATTTTTATTGTTAGTGATGCATTAGGAGATCCTGCTGTATCACGTATACAAGATCTTCAACAATTATTTGCTGTTTATGTTTTATGTCAAACAAAAGAACAAGCCGATAGTTGGTCAACAAATCAACCAAAAATTCGTGGAATTTCTATTGATATCAATCAAATACTTGAACAAGTAAAATTGGATATTCAAAATGATGAAGAATCTATTTTACCATTTACATATATATTGACAGCCGTAAACGCAAAAAATGAATCATCATTTGTAAAAAATCAAATATTGAAAGACATTTTACTCGATTCCGATGAAATGAATGAAGCAAAAAAAGAATTAATTGAGTTTGGTCGAGTTGAATATGCTGATAATATAGAGCAATTAAAATGTATTGAACAGTTTGAAAATGAATATCGAAAAGAAAATACCCTCGAATTTTTTCGAAAGGAATATTTTCTTTATAAAGTTAGTAAATTATCTTCAATGGAATAGAAAACATTTTTAAAACTAAATTTCTTTCTATTTAGATGTTAAATAAGGGTTTTCGAATACCTGAAGTTGATATTTTATTTAAACTTCGTTTATTTATTCAAAATCTTCATAACTTTATTATTTCATCGCCAACTAATTCAACAATTAAAACACTTTATCGATCACAATTCCTAACAAATAATGAACTTGATGCAATAAAAAAATGTGTTGATGGTGGTTTTATTGCATTTTCAAACTTTTTTATTGCATCGATTAGTTATCCTGAACAAAAGTTACGATCATCATCATTATTAACAGACGATCAACAGGATTCTTGTGGAGAAGACGTCATTTTTCGAATTGATGTATCAAATAGTAATCATTTTATGTCCTATGATAATCAAATTTTAGTTACATTTGGACTTATTACACGAGTTGAAAACATAGAAAAAGATAAAAATGGAAAAGCTGTTATAAATTTAAAAACAGTCAATGTTGATGATCATCAATTAGAAAGTATTATTGAGCCAATGAGAAAAGAAACTCGAGCTCCTCATCCATCACTTCGTGTTGTCAAATTATTTATGGAACTTGAACAATATGCAGAAGCTATTCAACTTGGACAAGTTTTACTAGTTGAAACACCCAATGCGCGTAAAGATCCTCTTTTAGCTTTAGCCCGTATTTATCATTCATTAGGTACAACCTTATATGAAAAAGAAGAATATGATCAAGCATTATATGTGATTAAAAAATCTCATGACCTTTATTTACGATTTCTACCAGATGATGCTCCACAATTATCTCCGACATGGAATAATATGGGTTCGATTTATTTGCGACAAGGTAAAACAGATTTAGCATTAGAATATCATGAAAAGGCTTTGTCTATTCAATTAAAATCACCAAGTCCAGATCTTCCTTCAATAATATCTTATTCGAATAATATAGGTGGAGTTTATTTAAAATTAGAACGGTATGATGAAGCACTTGTACATTTTAAACGTGCTTTACAAATTGAAGAACAAACATTACCAAAAAATCATCCAGAATTAGCTGGAACATATCATCGTATTGGCGGAGTTTATTTTCGTCAAAATAATTATGAGAAAGCGCTCGAATTTTATGATAAAACATTAGAAATTGAACTTGCTTCTCTGCCTGATAATCATCCAACTGTAGCTGTTACATATCATAATCGTGGTACAGCATTTGAAGGTTTAGGAAAACTAGAAGAAGCAATCGAAAGTGCAGAAAAAGCCGTTGAACGCTTACTGAAAACACTACCTAAAGAACATCCACAAGTGCGCATGAATCAAGCTTATGTTGACAGACTGAAACAGAAGCTCTGGGTTAAGCAACTATTTACATCTTAACTAAATTTTCTTCAGTTGATTAAAATTTAATTTTTATTGGTGATAGACAAGATTACTTTTTTCATTCTTTTGTTTGCTTTTCGTGTTTCACTTTAATTGAATGGATTTTGCGATGATAGAAAATTATTATTCAATGGGCTTTCTCAATTTTGTTTTCTACATCAATCTTGTAACATTGTCTTCAAATTGATGATCACAATTTTAAAACAATGAAAACAAGATAAATTTCTAGATAATAAGAAATGGAATTGTTGGTAGTGTACTGCAGCCAGGTCGGGTGACCGGTACCCGACCCGACCCGGTACCTGGGTCCGGGTGAAAAGCTTCGGGCCGGGCCGGGTGCCGGGTCTGGAAAAAAAGTCGGGTCGGGCTAAGGAATTTTCAAAAAACCGACACCCGACCGGTCAAGTAGTGATATCTAGGAGAAACATGAAATTTTCAGATATCATTGTCGATTTCAGTCATTTCAGTCATAGGAATGTGAATCTGATTGGGTTATTATTCACTAATATATTCAATAGTCACAACAAGTCACCTAACATAACCCACAAACACGACTGTTCTACTTATATGTTAAAGAAACTTCGCTAAGTGTGCTAGCTGCTTTACATAACTGATCTATTACCGCCTCACATTTACATGAATCATCGTAAGTATCCATTCTCACATACTTCTACATGTTTATTAATTTTTATTTTTTGTCCTAGCTCAGCTCTTCTATCACAAAAACGTAGTTTTCAATGTTATATATTATTGATTGTAAGTATTCATTTCTCTATAATTTTTCATTTGAATTCACTTCTATTTTATCTTTTAGACCTTAGTTGAACATCAAAAACATAGTTTTTGATGTTATTTATTATTTTTATTGATCTTTTATTATCAATTATTTATTATCGATTATTTATCTCATTGAGATCCTCTCACTAATAAACTATTAGCAAAATTTTGACCACAATCCGGTCGGGTGCCGGTCGGTTACCGGGTATAGTTGTTCGGGTCCGGTTCGGGTCCGGGCGGTTCCGGGTGTGGGAAAAATCAGTCGGGCTGGCTCCGGGTATGAAAAGTTGCACCCGTGCAGGACACTAATTGTTGGTGCTAGGTGAATTCGTTGCCGGACAATTCGTTGTATATGTTGTTAATGGCGCTAGTACATTACGTCGCAGAGTAATTTATTCCGTTCTATTGCTCGCTATCTACTTGTTCATTCTCAGTGAATTATTTCGATCTACTATTGATTGTGTCCATTATTAGGCCCACAAAAGTTCGCCCCAATAAGATAAAATGTCGATCTGTAACTCGTCCCATTCTAAAGATGACTCCTATTGGCTTATCTAATATTTATTTTATATCAAGTTTCATGCAACATAAAAAAGAGTAGGATTTCTCATTCTTAATGGAACTATTTCCTCACAATAAATTTGGGGAATTGATTTAGTTTTCTTCTTGCTCATCTCGTCATAACTTCCACATTTTCTTCAGCAAGTGGTTTGCTTAGTTGAGACGCTTTACATAATTCGTTGTGAGCAATAGGTTCAAGACGAACGAACTAGTTGCCAATTGATAAACTAAATGTACTTGAGCAGTCTCTGTTCCAACATCTCCATCGACACAGTTTTCGTTTATACCTTTAACAGTGTATTGAAAATCCAAATAATTTAGAAATTACATATTCCATTCACTAGTTGTAAATCGAAACATGTTATAGCTGCAACAGCATACAATGAATATATGAATAAACCTCACATTGTTTTGCATATCTTCTTTCCATTCACTAGATCCACCACATTAGTGAAAATGATACCAAAATGTCACTCTCTCATATTAGTTACATACATCATTTTCGATAACTAATAGGAGTCATCTTTAGAATGGGACGAGTTACAGATCGACATTTCATCTTATTGTGACAAACTTTTGTGGGCCTAATAATGGGCACAATCAATAATAGATCGAAATAATTTACTGAGAATGAACAAGTAGATAGCGAGCAATAGAACGGAATAAATTACTCTGCGACGAACAGAACGTGACAAATTGTTCTGCGACGAAATGAACGCGGCATTGTGAACGGTCACCGTTGTTAATACATGATCGCTATTGAAATTCTCGTCTCGAATGTGTTTTTGTTTTGTTATTCAAAAACTGTTAATTACGGATGGATCATCAAGAGAAGATAATAAGTTTCTATCTCCAGTAAATAGTGAAAAACTTTTCCACAATATTCCCGCTTATTAAAAGAGAAAAGTTTGCATCTACAATTCTAAATCGTTATTCTTTCTCTCCTAAAAATTTTCTTTAGAATTACTGGAATTAAAAATTGAAACATGAATATACAATCAAAAGAAATCAATAAAAACATAAATCGTTACTCCAACTGAACCGATTTATCACGATCTTAAAAAATATTGAATATTAACATTGAGTCATTAATATTGCTTGAAAATATTCAAGGAATTTGACCAATTACGCACATATTCCCGATTGATTAAAAGAAATTGTTTAAATATTGTTATTAATTTAATGATTTAACACAAAAAGATTCGTTCGGTTTTGTTGTAAACGATTTTCCGAGAAAGCAGTAATATAAGTGAATACGAATTGAGAAGTTTCAGTGTAATTACGATTATTCTTTATCTACCTAGCAAGGCATACATCAATGTGTCATATTTGCAATGCTTAATAAGATATTAAAAAGACCAGATACTGAAATAGTAATAAAAATGAAGTTTTTTTTGTTCGAAATCTTCATGAACAATTTGAAAAATTACTTTGATGAATAACGAAAAATGTTAAATTAATAATTGCTAGATACAGAATTTTAAAAGAATCGACATAATTTTTTATTATTTAATAATTTCTTGTCAAGAAACACCATATACGAAGATCATTAGATTTCGCAGTGTGTTTTTATTATTTAGAAGAAATATAATAAAAATGTTTAAATCATTATTCAAAATCCAATCATATTTAACATTATACTAAAACTAGATAAACTTAGATTTTTCTAATTTATTATAAATAAACATACACAGAATTGATAATAAAAACTTCATAATAATATCCAGCGTTACATAGAAATCATATTTTTCTAAGTATGTTTTAAAGGCTCATTTAAATTAACACATAAAACCGTTGTCTTTTTTGTTTTTCAATTTTGAATTATTAGATTCAATTGCATCGAACTATATAAACCCAAAAGAACTCAGCAAACGCTTATTTTTTTCTAGGTTCAACATACATTTATTTTCTCTCTTTTCTGTATGTCCGATATTGAAATATCACTCATCCCGTCGTCAACAAGAACAAGACAAAAAAGAATACCGATTTTTTATATTATATCAGACGGTCATCCGTTCAATATGTCTGTGTATTGATGGACTAGAATTTTTTTTCTCGTCAAATTCGTTTAGCTCGTATGAGAGAAAGACGATTTTTTTTCTTTCTGGCATATATTAATGAATAATCACGAAGGTACTGCACTTTGTTTTTGACATTAATTATCATGGCACAATATCGGCATGTAGTTTCTTTAATTAAGATATAAGAATTCTGCACTTAAATATAATCAGGTAATTTTTGTTTTATTTTATATATTGATACTTTAGAAATAAATTAATCTTCTATCGTTAGTATCATTTTTATATCTCGAATTGTTTCATCTTAATTACCATCAACAATAATCTTACTCGAACTAGAACAATACTGTTCATTTTATTTTATTCATAAAACAATACCATTAAACTTAGGAGTGAATTTCGCAGCTGTTATTTTATTCTATGATTATACAACTAATATTAAAATACACATTGGTTTGGAAATATATCAATTGACGTTGTTAAACACCCGTTGAATAATATTTGTTACACAATAAATACTAAAATAAAGATCTTTATAACAAATAATACATTCTGTAGAAGATTTTCTTTAAAAAACAGTCATTTATAGACACATCTGTTGTTCTATAAAATGTAGCTTCATAATTTGTTTTGTTAAAGAATCAAGTTTTTGTGGTAGATTTATATATTTTGATTACAGAATGAACGTTATAACTTTTATCTCATTATATGCAAGACGAAGTGCATGAAGAGTTTTTCTGTTATCTCGATAAGTTTTAAATCAATACTAACATAGTGAACTTTGAACGATGAAAGACTTATTAATCGACAGTTTTATTTTCTATCCAATGCTGTTTACGAAAGGTCTTTATTAATTTTTAGTGTTCAGTTATTAAGATTTGAAATTAGTTTCAAATTCTAAGACGTTCCTGTAAAAATTTAATAAATTTAAATTCAAAGTTAGATTCTTTTTTCTAAATGTAGCCCGTTCTTTACTGAATACAGTCATGTAATTCGCTATGCTCTATTATTTCTTAGTTTTCTAGAAAACATACTTCGAAGTATTTTGGCCAAAAGTATACTCCAGACAGAAGCAAAAAAATGATATGAAGCCGTGAAGTTTCAGATAGCACTACATTTGGTCAACATGGAAAAAAGTTAACCTAGACCAACTTTCTCATATAATCCGCCTATTGACGATGAAAAAAATCCTAATCTATCTTTCTTTTTAGACAAGATGATTAGTAAAATCGAAACGCTACCTAATGAAATTCTTCTTCAATTTTTTTCTTGTCAAACATGGTACGATATGTTAACATCTTTATGGTCATTAAATACTCGCTTCAACTCTCTTATATGTTTAACTCTTTCGATAAATGACAATCGACTGAACAGTGGCCTTGTTATAATGCATGGTTTATCATAAAATAAATGTTGTTCAATATTATTTCCGTTGATTTTAAATTCATCGTATCTTTCTTCTTCTATTCAACGGATTCATTTTGATGGAACAAATTCAATTTCTTCTGATCTTTGTTATCAATGTTTATTTAATGATAAAAATGTTCTTCGTTTTCCTCATCTTAAATCATTTATTCTTACTCGATGTGGATCGATTGAACCAGTTATTCAGAGTTTAGTTTATCTTATTAAATATCAATT